GGGACTAGAGTTGAAACATCAAAATGCGTGCCCAACTAGCCACAAGGAAAATTAATGGGTGTGAAAAGGAAATTTGTCAAAACATTTGTGCCAACTTGTCTAACTAATTAACCTTTAAGGAAATTAAAGGTATCAATCTACCAGTTTTAACGGTAATTCATCCAAAATTACTCTTTTTTGTTATATAGCTTCAAATACACATGAGCACTAGTATTTAAAAACCACATAAGAAAATAAGAAAAAAACCCCCCACATAATCGAGAAATATACCACATCAAACTCGTAGCTACTGTTTTCAAAAAAAAAAAAATCTCGTAGTGAGACATTGAATTATCTATCTACGACTACTATATGTATTTTTGACATACGACAAAACATTTCTTACAAAGTAGTAGCATAAAACTAGTTCTTTTTCGCAAATGCATTAATCAAGAACAAGGCGTTGCTGGTTTCATGCCCCCACGTGAACAATTCTAGCCCGAACCGAGTTCTTGATCCGTCCATCCATGACCCGACCCGAGAACCCATCAACTTGCAAGAGAATTGGATGAACTTTACGGCTTTCTTGGAAGCTCCGGTCGGTGTGGTTGCGGCGGCCGTCGTCAGATCCGGCGAGAAGAGGTATTAGTGCTCTTCTATATGTTAACTCTTTCGGGTTTGGTCTGTTGCAATATCCGATTATGCAATTTGGTTTTGACTTAGACTCGCAATCTCATCAAAATTCCAAATAGCCAAAAGGTGATTTTCAGTACGTTGTAGTTAGGCGCAAATATTAAATCTGACATCTAGTAGAATTAAATCTGTGTGCAAATATTGTTACTAAAGAATATTTAATAGAGAATACAATGTTACTAGAGCGGAGTTCTGAATAATGTTGTCATCACTACCGCACAAGTTTTTTCAAGTCGGATTATGAGCATCAAAATATGGTCGGTCTATCCTCTGCACATTCTCTACCGCATGAGTTTTCTCAAGACGGATTCTGCGCAGTCAAGAATGTGGAGAGGATAGACCGGCGATGTTTTAATGCTCACAAGCGAGAGAAGAGAGATTGATCAGCCAAAACCGCATGGTTATTTCGTCGGTTTTAAGATTGATTCGTCCATCAACAAAACAACCAAACCAAGAACCAATTGATTGGCTGATTTATTGATGAGGAAGCAACCTTAAAACGACTTCTACAGACAAAATGCACCAACTCGATTGAAAATCTTGCATTTGTCAACATGGCTAAGAGTCTCAAAGCCAAACATAATAATTTGTTAAATTTAATGCTAAATTGTTTGATTTTGTTACTATTAAAAACGATTATTTAATAAATAAAAAAGACTAATCCAACATTTAAGGTTTTTATCGTCCTTTGAAAGTTTGTAATCAATGCAGCTACGCTGCATCTGCATGTGGCAACGGTCATTTTCAAGATTTCCAACTTGGCCCCAAATCATAGCATATTTATCCAAAACTTGTCATTTAACATACGTCACACACAC